TTGTGTGAAATGATTAAAAAAAAAAAAAAACAAATACTATGAACATATAACTATAACAGAAAATGAGGAAGCTACTATTTTCTGGGATAGGCCAATACAAACTGATAAATAAATTGAGGCCCAGAGGTTTGATATATCATAGTGAAGAGCCAGAAGGAAAGAGCTTGCCTGCTCATCAACATGGCCATCTTCAATGAAAGGAATACTTCTCTGAAAACTACAGAAGAATATATAAATATAAAGATCTAGAATTAGAAATTGAGAGAAGTTGGGTGCATGAATCCTGCAAAAATATCCGTGGTAACATAGATTCTTGGGCTGGTAAAGAACAGGATGAAAAAATACACCAACAAAATCCCTGGCAGCATCAAAAAGAAAAAAAGAAAACTAAAAGATTGTCCTTCTTGGCAGTGATCACATATTAAATAATCATATCACACTCTCAGAGTAGCCCTAAATGCAAGCGACAGACTCTGTTACATGAGTGAATAATATGGAAAAAGTCCAGAAACAAAAATGGATTAGAAATAACTGTGAAAATGTCACAGTTTTCTTATTTGGAATTTTCTGATGGATCCTAATTCACAAGTTATTAGTTCTATGCTTATGAAATATCCACTGGTATTCCCTATTGCATCATTGAATATTTTAGCTTATCAACTTTAACCAAATATTGTAATGACAATCATAATGCAGGTCATTATTTAAAGAGGAGGGTACAAATGAAAAGAATTGAAATTGATAAGATTTTCTATTTCACTGAAATCTCCTGAAGCATTGTTAAGAGCCTGAGAGTATTTTCACCTGTTCTCTTGCCCCTCTTTTTTTGTCTTTCTCTCACTGAAACTAAACAGCATCTCCTTACTATCAAAATGGAATAGTCCATGATTTATGAGATATTGACAGGGTGTAACATATGTGCTAATTAACTAAGGACCTAAGGAGCAAACAGAATAATAATAATAATAATAATAATAATAATAATAATAATAATAATAGTAGTAGTAGTAACATATCAAGCATATAGGGAATATAACGCTGCCACTAAATCTAATGCCATGAAAATGTTGAACCCATAAAATCACTGTGTCTTTCCAGGTATCATAGACTTGGCAGAAAGCCGGCCAGTGCCAGATGGATCCCCTGGAGGTCATGGAAGATAATAATAGAATAATAAAATAGTGATAACAATATAAAATAATAATAATAATAATAATAATAATAACAATAATAATAATAATAATAATAATAGAATAATAGGATAATAATAAAATAACAAAAAATAATAATAAATAATAATAATAAAAGCACTAATAATAAAATAGCAAAAATAATATTAATAATAAAGTAATAGTAATAGAATAATAAAATAAAAAAATAAGAAAAGTAATAATACTAAAAGTAATAATAATAAAATAACAAAAATAAAATAAATAGTAAAAGGACTAATAAAGTAACAAAGATATTAAAGTAATAATAATAAAGTAATAATAATAAAATAAAAAATGTAATTATAATAAAATAGTAAAACCAATAATAATAAAATAACAAAAATAATAATAATAATAATAATAAAGTAATAATAAAATAAAAATGATAAGAAAACTAATAATAATAGAATAATAAAAATAATAATAATAGAAACAATAATAACAAAAATAATAAAAATATTAATAATAAAAGCAATAATGATAATATAATAATAATATCCATTTTGAACTTGAAAAGCCAAGAAGTGTAAAATCAGAAAACAAGGAAGCATTGTACTTGATGGCTGACATTTTGATTGTTTTTCTGTGAAAAGGAAGGAAGGAGGAAAGGCATTTTGTCAGCACTGGGTGTTTGCATCAATTCTGCTATCAAGCAAAGTAATGAAAGATTGGTGATAGCAGACAAAACTTTGCATTAAACTGTCAGGTGGAGAAAAAGATGATCAGAAAGTTGCCAAACAAGAAATGAAATTTGGGAATAAAAACAACTGTACAGAAATTTCCAGGAATGAAAAAAAAAAGAAATTATAGATGAAAGCACCCAAATATGGTTGTGAAGAGGTAATCTAAATAGAGAAACACCCCTTGGAGATAGTTTTAAAATTCATAAGCCACTGTGAATGCAATAAATTGACTCAGAAAAGGTAAAAAAATAGACAGGTGGGAAAGGTGATCAACCAGGAATTGTGCAAATGATTATGCAAACATATACGCTATATACAAACCAGAATCTGTATTAGAGAATAAAAAAAATATGAAATTCTCTGGTACTTATAAAATCAAGCAGATCACTCAACCCAGTCATTGAATACAAAAACAAAATGTCTGATGTTGGATGTCACTATTCTACAAGATGCCAGAATATAGTTGAAAGGTAATGAAAACCCAGAAAAATATCTCGGCTACACAAGAAGGGAACAGAGTCAGAAGAATCTAGGTAAATTGCTCAAAATCCATTGCTTGACAGTAAATTGCTCAAAATCAATTGCTTGAAAAATAATTTCTTGAACTATCAAATGCTCAAAAGGTAGATTGCTTGAAGTAATTTCGAAGCTTGAAGCACAACGTAAACTACACCATCTCACGACACGTCAACGAAGCTGCATATAAAAGGAGCTACAACACTCAACTTTAGCAGTCCTGATTTTTTTTTATATATTTTTTTTCTATTTCAGTAATTTTGGAGATCTCAAACCCTAGTGATGGACATAACTTTTGATGAGAGCGAAAAAGGAAAGAAGTTGTGTTTGGATGGATATATTAAGGACAAAACAGTGAATAATAAGATTTACTGGAAATTTGAAATGTGCAAAAAAAGGAAATGCTTAGCACATGTTTTATTTTTGTCAACCACAGGTTTCGAGCAAACTGCCTTTTGAGGAAAAAAATAAGACCTGCTATATAAATGTACTCGTTCTTTAATTTTAACTGTTCAGTTAACAACAATAAAGTTGTATTATTTTATCTTATAGTAAATATTAGAAACAATGTAGTTTTATTTTTTTTTTAACCACAGGTTTTGAGCAAACTGCCTTTTGAGCAATTGATAGTTCAAGAAATTATTTTTTGAGCAATTGATTTTGAGCAATATACTTTTGAGCAATTGATTTCAAGCAATTTACCGGATACGGAGTCAGAGAGCCTGAAAGTGACAATTTTTTCCCCATTATTAAGGCAAAGCTTACAACAGTCCAGTCATGTATTGCAAAGAAGAACTGAAAATCTGATGAAAGATCAAAACCATACAAAATTAAAATCATCTAAAATACTGAGAGAGAGTGCTGAAGTATTGGAAATGCTTAATATCACTTGATATCCAGTGAAAGCTACCAGTTACGACATGTACAAAATCTCAAAGAATACAAATAATATTAATTTCAGAAAGAAGATAAAGAATACTGAATACTATGTTATATAAATCCTCTGATGTGGCAGTAAATGCTGGACAATTTCCACACTGACAAAGAAAAGGCTTATGGCAAAATAGATGTGGTTTTACAGAAGGATGCTGATAATACCACGGACTGGACACATGAGCAATGATGAAGTTTTAAGAAAAGTCAGAATGAAAAAGACACATACGTAGAATCAGAATAAGACCACTGAAATTTCTAGAACACATAATGAGGCTTGGAAAATTTGACACTCACAAGAAATATTGATGGCAAGATGGGGCAGAGGTAACGAAGTAAATGGGTGACTGAACAGAAAGTGGGAATGATAATAAAAAGACAAATAATGTTAAGAGCTATAAAGTATAGGAAGCTGTGGAGTGCCATTATCACTCACAAGGAAGACAGTATATAATTGAAGAAGAAGCAGTGAAGCATGAGGTTTATAGTTGTCAGTCAATCAGGTGCCACATGGAATACATGCTGGGGTGATCATGTATCTTTTGATATATGACAGACAAGGCAGAAGATTTTTATCGCAGTAGGTTGTCATTTCTTTTTGTGGTAGACTGGTTGCCAACCAAGTCTAAAGAACCCAGTCTTTTCTGTTATTCAACCCATAGCTGGGGGAAAAGAGATGGATTCATACCTTTCCTGAGGATATTTGTGCTTAAGTGAATATAACAGACAAAAATGGAATTCGAACTTGGCTCTCCAAGTTCTCACTTCGAGTGGATATCCATTATGCCGCAATAATGCACTTGGAATTGTCTTGAACAGTCAGCTTCAAAGAGATTTGAAGAACTGGAGATCCATGAAGAAATCAAAAGCATCCAAAAGCCAGCATTTCTCCAATGAATGCTGCTACCAAGAAAACTCAAAGACTACAAAGTAATAACAATTGTTATTATTTTGACTGCAAACATTTTCTTTTTGTTTAGATAGACAAAACTTTTTTTTTTTTTTTTTATTTACATCTTTTTTTTATTAATGAGTTTTTATTTTTGTCTTGTTTTTTTTTTTTAATTTCTTGCATTTGTTCTCATCTTTTTGAGACCCAGGAGCAAAAGCAAAAAAAAAATGAAAAGGAGAGAAAAAATAAAAATAAAGATTTTATAGCACCAGATTGTCTTAGCATTTCCACTTGGATTTACCTTTTCTATCATATTTCCCAGGTGAATTGATTCCTTTCATCTTCATATGGTGGTTGAGTGGGGCGTGTTTTTTCTTTTTTCATTCAATTGAAATCTGAATTGGTTTTATTTGTCTTTTTCCTTTTTTTTTTTTAATTTCCTTCAGAATATCAGATAAGTTCACATTTTGCACCTGTGAGGGAACTACAGCTTTCTACCTTTAATGAGGCCATCACAGAAAAGTTATTTTAATCTTCATGTCACTTTTATTGTTTATGCTTTCTTACATATATATATATATATATATATATATATATATATATATATTTATACGTGTATGTATGTATGTGTGTGTATGTATGTGTGTGTATGTATGTGTGTGTGTCTTCATCTAGGTTTAGTGTAAAGGAATTCACAATTTTAGAAACTAATTTGACTTTTTTGATATTATCCATTATTGCTTTGCAGGGTTTTGATTATTTAAGTTTCTTTCTTTTTCATTTTTTCATTTCATTTTCTCATTTTTCATGCAACTCTTTTCTTACTTTCTTCTTTTGTCTTTCATTCTCATTTTACTTTATTCAATTTCATATAATTTTCTTTAATTCTTCTTTTTCATCAGTCTCTGTCTTTCTCTCTTCTTTTTTCTCTCTTCTTTTTTCTCTCTTCTTTTTTCTCTCTTCTTTTTTCTCTCTTTTCTTTTTTCTCTCTTCTTTTTTCTCTCGTCTTTTTTCTCTCTTCTTTTTTCTCTTTTCTTTATCACTCTCTTCTTTTTTCTCTCTTCTTTTTTCTCTCTTCTTTTTCACTCTCTTCTTTTTTCTCTCTTCTTTTTCTCTCTTCTTTTTTCTCTCTTCTTTTTTCTCTCTTCTTTTTTCTCATTTCTTTTTCACTCTCTTCTTTTTTCTCTTTTCTTTTTCATTCTCTTCTTTTTTCTCTCTTCTTTTTTCTCTCTTCTTTTTCACTCTCTTCTTTTTTTCTCTCTTTTTTTCTCTCTTCTTTTTCCCTCTCTTCTTTTTTCTCTCTTCTTTTTCTCATTTCTTTTCCTCTCTTCTTTTTTTTTTTCTCTTTTTTTTCTCTTCTTTTTTCTCTCTTCTTTTTTCTCTCTTCTTTTTTATCTTCTTTTTTCTCTCTTCTTTTTTCTCTTTTCTTTTTCACTCTCTTCTTTTTTCTCTCTTCTTTTTTCTCTCTTCTTTTTCACTCTCTTCTTTTTTCTCTCTTCTTTTCTCTCTTCTTTTTTCTCTCTTCTTTTTTCTCTTTTCTTTTTCACTCTCTTCTTTTTTCTCTCTTCTTTTTTCTCTCTTCTTTTTTCTCTCTTCTTTTTTCTCTCTTCTTTTTATCTCTTTTTTCTCATTTCTTTTCCTCTCTTCTCTTTTTCTCTTTTCTTTTCATTCTCTTCTTTTTCTCTCTTCTTTTTTCTCTCTTCTTTTCACTCTCTTTTTTTTCTCTCTTCTTTTCCTCTCTTCTTTTTTCTCTCCTCTTTTTTCTCTTTTTTTTTCTCTTCTTTTTCTCTCTTCTTTTTCTCTCTTCTTTTTTCTCTCTTCTTTTTTCTCTCTTCTTTTTCTCTCTCTTCTTTTTTCTCTTTTCTTTTTTCTTCTTTTTTTCTTCTTTTTTCTCTCTTCTTTTTTTCTCTCTTCTTTTTTCTCTCTTCTTTTTTCTCTCTTCTTTTTTCTTCTTTTTTTTTTCTTCTCTCTTCTTTTTTCTCTTTTTTTTTTCTCTCTCTTTTTTCTTCTTCTTTTTTCTCTTCTTTCTCTTTTTTTCTCTTCTTTTTCTCTTTTTTTTTCTCTTCTTTTTTTTTTCTCAATTCTTTTTTCTCTCTTCTTTTTCTCTCTTCTTTTTTCTCTCTTCTTTTTCTCTCTTCTTTTCTCTCTTCTTTTTTCTCTCTTTTTTTTTCTTCTTTTTTCTCTCTTTTCACCTCTCTTCTTTTTTCTCTCTTCTTTTTCTCTCTTCTTTTCACTCTCTTCTTTTTCTCTCTTCTTTTTTTCTCTTTTCTTTTCTCTCTTCTTTTTCTCTCTTCTTTTTCTCTCTTCTTTTTCTCTCTTCTTTTTCTCTCTTCTTTTTCTCTCTTCTTTTTCTCTCTTCTTTTTCTCTCTTCTTTTTCTCTCTTCTTTTTCTCTCTTCTTTTTTCTCTCTTCTTTTCTCTTTCTTCTTTTTTTCTTCTTCTTTTCTCTCTTCTTTTTTTCTCTTCTTTTTTCTTCTTTTTCTCTCTTCTTTTTCACTCTCTTCTTTTTTCTCTCTTCTTTTTTCTCTCTTCTTTTTCACTCTATTCTTCTTCTTCTCTTTTTCCTCCTCCAAAGCTCTTCAGTCTCCCTCTTTCACTCTTTTTCTTTCCCTATTCCTTTTCACTGTATTATCCTTTTTCTCCTTCTCCTTCAAAACTCTTTTTCTCCTTCTTTCTCTCTTCTTCTTCTTTCTCTATTCCTTTTTACTATATTATTATTATTATTATTATTATTCTCCAAAACACTTCAGTCTCCTTCTTTCTTCTTTCTCTATTGCTTTTCACTCTATCCTTTTTCTCCTTCTCCTCCTCCAAAAAACTTCAGTCTCCTTCTTTCTCTCTCCTTCTTTCTCTACTGCTGTATTTTTGCCCTCTCTTTTCCAACTCAATGACATATACAGAACATTTAGTAAAAGATCATAAACTCCAAATAATAAGCCAATTCATTTCATAAATTCCTTTATGGACGTTTTGATACATTCTCTTTCTTATTCGCCAATTTATTTTCTCTCAATTGGCTATTTTTAAATACATACAAATTCAGAAAAGCAGGAAAATTTTTTCACATTCTCCTCAGTCCAGCAATGACCAAAATATATATTCCAGTGATCTATTAATATAACGCCACCTCCAAAAAGGTATCTTAGAAAATTGCCTAAGTAAGCATTTATCTTTCATTTAGTGTCTATCTAATTTTCATGACATTATTTCTCTAAGAATTGAGATGAAATGACCACAATACTTCTCATGAAAATTATTATTGATGAATAGGAGATTAGGTTTAAAGCTTCAAGTTTTAGATCTGAGATTGAGGAATTAGTCTATTGGATAAAAACATCGGTTTGAGAATTTGGTGGCATAGTAATGCCAGATTTCAATACCTGGGTTGAGAGGAGGATTAACTATAAGCGAGGAATGCTAAATAAAAAAAAGAACAAAATGAGAACAAGTTGAACAAAAACAAACCTATTTCTGTAGATTAAATAAAGGGATCTGTTTGAAATTATTTAAGATTTCCCAGATTGACAGAAGATGGTTTAAGGATACAATGGCCAAAATGTAACAGCATCATGAGGACATTGGCCCACATATAAATCATGATAGCATTGTAAGGATATTGGCCAACATGTAAAACATGAAAGCATTGTAAGGACATTGGCCAACATGTAAAACATGAAAGCATTGTAAGGACATTGGCCAACATGTAAATTATGATAACTTTGTAGGGACATTGGCCTACATGTAAATAATGAAAATATTGTAAGGATATTGGCCCACATGTAAAACATGATAGCATTGTAAGGACATTGGCCAACATGTAAATCATGAAAACTACTCATCACAAAATTTCATGCAGAAACAATGAATAGATGAGCAAGATAGTTAAATATTTCTCAGGTGCGTGCCAATAGAAATTCTAAATATGCATTTTTTTGTCTTAAATTTGTAAATCCTTCTGCAAAAGTACAAAAAAAAAAAATTAAATTATCAGCAATGATCTTCACTGCCTGATAATGAAACACTTGGTAACAATTCCAAATTTTGCTCACAACTTTTGGAAAGACGTCTTTAAAGTATAATTCTTTATAAAACACCTCAGAGGATGTTAATGTTAAAAAAAGGAAACACTAAGTAAATGTAGATATTCTTCTTCTTCTTCTTCTTCTTCTTCTTCTTCTTCTTCTACTGCTGCCTTTAATCATCATTTATTGAAATTGGTCCAGAGTCTAATAAAATTAAATTTAGACCAACATCACAAACAAGGAATGTATGAAGAATGGCATTCTATTTAGGAATATAAAACTAAGTACATCCTAAAAACTCTCTTTCTCTTTTGGTTCTGAGTTTTAGTAATGACAAGATTGAACTTGTCACAACCAGGGGAGATTTCATTTCTCACCAAAGTACTTAATTTCAAACAAAGCATATGGACATCATACATATGTGCACACACACACATGTGCACATACTATGATTAAATGCATAAAAATTTTCTTTCTTTTGTTTAGCAATCTGAATATGCATAAATATCATTTTCTCTCTCTCGATTCTTATTTTATTACTTTATAAAAAAATCTTCCAAATAGTGAATCCATTTCTTTTGAAAATGTTGGATTCATTTATTCTGTTAAATATTCATTCTAATCAGCAACAAAGTTGTGACTCCTCCCACAACAAAATTTTTAGCCAACAACAAACTTATCCATCAGAAGCATGTAGCAACACTTTATTATAATTAATTAAACATCATCATCGGAAATAATCCCATTAATAGATGCTAAATCTATTTTAGATCATCAAAAGCTCGAAATACAATAATCTGTAGAATAGGATGAGTAAGGTATGCTAACATTTCAATCAAGAAAGCATGAATGCTTATGTTGAAAAACAACATTTGAAATCATAGCATTTACATACACTTGAATATGAATCACTTTCACGCTGCACCAACAATATCACAAATATTTCAAATATTCACAAAATTCTTATTTTTCTATATTAATATTGTAAATAATTTCTAGCATTCTTCCAAAACAGGTTGCATTGTATAAATTGTCATCTAAATTATGCAAAACTGAAAATAACATGGAAAATAACAGAGTTCACAAAACCATTGGTTGCATTACACACCACTCTTTAGTGCAATATGGTTGGTGCTGCCATTGTAGGTAGCAGTTTTTCGGGATTTGGTAATTCTCAATGTTTTTAATTGGTCTCTGTTTGAAGACAGAGACACAACTGAAAGATGATAAGAGAGCACCTCTGTGGGAGAGAAAGGTAACCTACTTGGTAATCAACCATGAGGAAAAATCCCAAGTTAGAATTCGTAAGGCTGTGTTCATGGCTGTAGTCAATAAATGTCCTAGAAGCTTATGTGATGGAATTGGTATATTAGAGTATTTCAGTAACATGTAGAGAGGAGGATAAATTTCATGGGTAATATTCTGTACTCCATATCTATTTGTTCAAAGATTGCATGCTGGAAAAATTGAAAACCACAAATTTGACTCTCCAAAATTTCTATCCTGACTTGTTGCCCATTACACCAGCCACACATACAAACTTACAACATCTGGTATTGCCATATTGCTTTAATTTAATCACCACAGAGAAGCTTTTCTGCTTGCCATCAATATAGCTGATGCTAGACTTCAGGAGAGCAACATACTATGCTTTCTTGGGATTATGTTTTCTACCTACATGAAGTGGAGTGACTATATTCGAATAATTGCTGTATTCACTGCTAGAAAAGTTGCTTCACTGTCATGATAGAAAATTTTTCTCATCAGAATCCATCTTGAATATTTATAAATTTACCATTCACCCATCCATTGAATACTGCTGCCATATTTGGTCTGGTCATCCTACTGCATATCTCAATATTTCTGGTAAAATCCAAAGAAGGTTCTGTAATGCAATCGATCCTGACAAGGCATTTCGACTTCAGTCACTTTCTCACCAACATGACATGGCTTCACTCTGTCATTTCTGCAAATATTTTCATGGCTACTGCTCTCATTAGCTTTTTTCCTCATACATTGAATGCATGAATTTAAACATGGTACTAGATTGGCAATTAGGTCTCACAATTTAAAAATTTGGATTCATGCCTTTCCTAAAGATATTTGCATGTAAGTGAATATAATGAACCTTACTGGAATTGAACCTTGACTCTCCAAATTCCAATCCTGACCTGTTATCCATTACACCAGCCACACATACAAACTTACAACAACTGGTATTCCCAAATTGCTTTCGAGATTGGCAACTCACAGTTTTACTGAACTAGCTATTCTAATAGTTTCTTTTCTTGTACTTCTCACCTGTGGAACTCCATTCTAATTCCTTTCTTTGTTACCACCTACAATCTTCAAAAATTTAAATGCAACATCAATCATCATTTTCCATCTTCGTGAATGCTGTTTATTTATCCTCACTTCTCGTCAATAAAGACTTCTTATTTTCTTTGACTTTTACTAACCTAGTGGCTTATAACCTTGCTTGGGATGAAATTATTTAATAATAAAGAAATAATCACCCATCTAGATATAGACCAGGCTTGATGTTGCTTAACTTCAGTGATTACACAAGGACCAATTTTTCAAACTGATATAGCCATAAATCTTGATACACAAGACAAAGTAAACTTAACTGATTTGAATTAAAATTAATGATATCAATATATTTGGATTAATTACAAGAACTTTAAATCCTAGAATCTATGCCATGTAGCTTACTCTGTTGACATGTTCATCTGTTGTTGATCACCAAAATCTAATGCTGTTAAATATGTTATTTGAGGACACTGCTCAAAGATTAAGTTGAACCAGGGTCAACAATTTGTTTCTACCAAGCAGTTCATCTGACAAAGTACAATGACCATTGTTCTTTGCCAAGGCTCCTCTAGATGCCAATACAAAAGCCTATTTTTCACTTGACTGCACATCAATTCCTTATCCTTGTCTCTTTCTGAATGAGCATGTGTGTTCCTGGCTTAGGGCTACTCACTTAGATATGCAATTTGATCCAGCCTTCACCAACAACTCAACTGCAGTAAGCTTGAAGCATCTTGACTTTCATTAACTTGATCCAAATTGTCTGGACACATGTAAGTGAGCTTCATTCTCACCAAGAAAAATGACCAATCAATACAATTGTCAATTTGGGTTGAAATGAGAGACATTATTTTGCCTTCTCTCAAGAAAGGAGAGTTCTACAGAACCTACTCGTTGATTGTTTTCACTTCTTGTCTTGCCTCAGAAACAATTTATATAATTCACTGTGTAGCATATGGACAACAACAATGAGCTTTAGCATTATGCTCAAGGATGATCTATTTTGAACACAAGAAATTGCAAATAAGCAATCACACTTTCTTTATTTTAGTTCATGTTTGGTCACATTACTGAAAAACTTTTTAATGTCTTTCCAGACATTAACTTACCTGGGAGAAGGATATTTTCACATCAAAACAGCCACTGAAATGTTTTCTGTTGTTGATCACTCTTCAGAAACTTTCTGATAACCTTTTCTTGACAAACAGAAAAGCAAAATGAAATAAAAAGTGTTTGCCAGCTAAAGAATTTTCTACCTTTTTTCTAAGTCATGACATAAATAAAAATAGTGAAGGGGAAATGTTATACAGTTTTGTAAACATTAAAATGAATCTTGATTTGAATTCAGAAAAATCTTTATCCAAACCAAAACACATAAGATATGTTTTGCCTAATCTTCAGAAGTTATTTTGAAATAGAAAAAAAAACTTGATAATTGTAATGTTTATGGAATTCATGAATTGATTGACTAATATTGAAAAATGTTTCATTTATCATTTCAAATACATACCATTTGGTAAATTTATTATTTAAAACCTATACCATTTCATGAATTT